CATAAGTAAGATTCCTGTCCACTACAGTGGCCAAGACATTTTAATGTGAGAAAAACCAAAATGTAGAACAGTATGTATAAAATATTATTGCCTACATAAGAAGCAAAAACACTCTATGAGCGGGAACCAGCAGTTAGCGTAATGGCTATGTCGCTGGACTCCCACATAGTCGACCGTGGTTCATGCCCCGGACCTGGTGGCTTAAAACTCACGCCGGGCGCGTGTGCGTGCGTGCCCAAGATCCCAAGAGGAGAATGGAGGAGAAGGGATTGCGGCGTGACCATCTCCCCTGGGGGGTGATTTCTCGCTTTCCGTCTCTATGTCTCTGTCTGTCTGTCTGGCGAGCGCGCACGCCCTATAGCGAAAATCTCTCCAGAAAAAAAAAAACACTCTATGAGCACAGATTATCTCTGGAGGGTCCCACAGGAGAGGGTAACTATTATCTGCAGGAAAGGAAACTAAATAATCAGGAGTGAGAGGAAGACTTAATTATACTGTATACTCCTTTGCACCCTTTGATTGAGATGCAATGGAAGGAAGAAGAAAGGGAGGGAGGAAGGACAGGAGTCACCACGTTTCCTGCTTCTCTTGTTCTCAATGACGGGTTCCAGCAAGGCCTCGGCAAAGGCCTTTTTATTCTTCCTTGCTCTTCTTCACACTTCTTCACCAGTGTCTGTAGATACATTAGGACCCACCCTTTCCACCCTGGCAAGGAGAAAATTTGAGAACTTGCCTAGGCATGAAAAGGCTTATTATCCATCCAGCTGGAAAGGAGGTGGTGTCTGTAATAGACATATTCTGCTTCTTCGCACTGAACAAAACCTGTTCTTCACACGGTAGAACAGAACTCTCATTTTGTGTGCCTCCAGGACTCAATGAAAAGAAAAACACATTTTAGGTGGCTGTTGCCATTTCTGAGTTGCCAGGTTTGTCGTTTGTTTGTTTCCTCTCTAGGGCATGTGCCCTTGCTACAGAGAGACAGAGAGAGGGGAAAAGTGAGAAATCAACCCCTGGGGGGATGGCCATGCTGCAACGTCTTCTCTTCTTGAGATGTTGGGCACACACACACACACACACATATACTCAGTGTCTTTTTTAAGCCACCAGTCCAGGACCCAAACCATAGAATTGGCTATGTGGGATTCAGCACCTTAACCTCCACACCACCTGCTGGCCCCTGCACTGAAGTCTTAATAAAGAAATCTATACTGGGTAACACTCTACTTGTTTCTGCCAAACCAAACCATCAGTGAAAAAATAATCTCCCCCTCTTTTTTCCTTTAAGCAGTTTTCTCATTCTATCAAGATTCATTATAAAGAATTTTCTAAATTACAAAGGCTCTCACAGTGGAATTGGGAAAGTACTGGAGGAAGAAAGTTACGTTTATTTAACAAGGTCAAGTAGCTGGTACTTTCATGTTCGGTGAATATAGAAAACGGGCACACCTCTTATTTAGTCCAGTCTACTTTTACCCCATATGATAACGCAGATGTGGCTTACCTTTTCGAAGGTATTAATTCACAGGTCAGTTTATCAGTGTACAAATATGAATAACAATAGACATTCTTGTGTATTTTTGTCATAAACATATAAAATTTTGAGAATGGGATAAAGATAGCTTCTCTTTATCCTCCACTCTTCTGCTACCTAAGGCATAAAAACGATCTGCTAACTAAACCAATACCTTAAAACAGTTTTCTGGAAACTACAGGGTATTATGGGCAACTGTTAAACTCTTATCCAATATTTCAAGTTCCTTCTTAAAACTCATCTCCTTTCAGAAACCTTTTATAAGCCCACCACTCAGAACACCCTCCTCTGTATGTCCTACAGTCACACTAAAATGCAAAGATAAAGCCTGTGTCTAATTCATATGGCTATTCTTAACCCATATATATGTGTATATACACACATATATATATATTGGAGAGGTTTTTGCCATAGGGCACGTGCACTCGCCAGACAGATGGAGAGAGACAGAGAGACAGAAAGTGAGAAATCACTCCCCGGGGGGATGGACACGCCACAATCCCTTCTCCATTCTCCTCTCAGGATCTTGGGAACACACGCACAAGTGCCCAGCATGAGTTTTAAACCTCCAGGTCCGGGACTTGAACCGTGGTCGACTACATGGGAGTCCAGTGACATAGCCATTATGCTAACTGCTGGTCCCTCCATATTGTGTTGTTTGGCTCACAGTAAGATGGTGACTGAATGACTAAATAGCTGATTAAGTTCATTGCTGATTAATATTCATGAATTAATTAAACAATAGACTCCGCGTGCTGATTCTGCTCATTTTTTAAGTTGAGGGGAAGGTGAATATTTTTGTGTGTTTGTGTTGTGCATGTGCTTGCCAGAGAGAGACAAAGACAGAAAGAGCAAGGGAAAGTGAGAAATCACTCCACTCCCTGGTGGGGGGGGAGGGGGTAGGGGGATTGAGGAAGCGTCCATGTCTCAATCCTTTCTCCTCCTCTCTCCTCTCAGGATTTTTTTAGGCACACACACCCAGCATGTTTTTCAAGCCACAAGGTCAAGGACCCAAACTGCAGAGTTGACCATGTGGGATTCAGCTGCCTTAACCTCTACACCACCTGCTGGCCTCATGAGTATTGGTTATTTACATAGGAAATTTTGAAGTCTGGAGCATATTCATAACCCACTTCTAATCAGACCTTAGTGGTTAGTGTCAGATCTGTGTCACAGAATGATAAGAACCAAGTAATAAGTAAAAAACGAAATTAAAGTATAGGACACACAACATGGATAGAACTTGCAAACATTATGTTGAACAAAACAAAACAAAACAAAAACACAGAATAATGCATATCATCTACTTCCATTTGTATCAAGTACAATGAACAGCAAAACCCACCAGAGATGGAAATCAGAATGGTGGTGGTTACCCTTGATGGGGGTGTGGAAATGGTCAGTAGAGGGCTTTGAGGTCCGGTGATGTCCCATGCCTCATAGGGGCACTCTTCCACAGATGTGTTCAAGATTGTGACAGTTCATCATCTGGATATTCTTGATGTGTGCTCTTATCTACAAATACATATCATTTCAATTAAAAGTTTTAAAAATAGCATAGGCCGGGACCAGCAGTTAGCGTAATGGCTACGTCACTGGACTCCCATGTAATTGACCACAGTTCGCGTCCCGGACCCGGTGGCTTACAACTCACGCCAGGCGCATGTGCATGCATGCCCAAGATCCCAAGAGGAAAATGGAGGAGAAGGGATTGCGGCATGGTCATCCCCCCTGGGGGGTGATTTCTCACTTTCTGTCTCTCTGTCTCTCTCTGTCATCTGGTGAGTGCACGCGCCCTATGGCAAAAACCTCTCCAAAAAAAAAAAAATTACTAAAAAAATAGCATAGGCCAAGGAGAAAGCTTAAAACCAGTTGGATTCTTTGGTACAGATATTTTCAACCAAAATGAAAAAACCCACACTGGTATAAATAGCACCATTAAGACAGCAAAGTTATAGAAGATCTGGAACAGCCTAAGCTCTAGCTGGTCACAAGCAGTCTCCAGAAATCAAACTTTGAACACCTGCCCCAGACGAGAGTGTATTTGTTCAGTGATGTTGGGTGTGTGGGAACGTGGAGCCATATGACAATTGACCCTGTTCCCATAGTTGGCAAACTTGACCAAATAAGGAAATTCTACTTCAAGTTCATTTATTTTATTTTTGTTATAAAATCCCTCGTTCAATGATAATGTTCAACTGAATTTTTAAGTTTAATTTAAAACACTTAGAAACCATAGTAATTCCTGAATATGGTAATTTTCAAGCAAAATAGGAATTCAGCCTCTAAATTAATTTTAAATTAAAATTTAATTAATTGGGGCCAGCAGGTGGTGTGGTGTGGCTGGACTTCCACATGGCCAATCACAGTTTGAGTCCTGGACCTGGCAGCTTGCTTTCTCACTTTCCTTCTCTCTCTGTTTCTGGTGACTTGAAAGAATAATAAGTAAAATTAAATAAACAAGTATTTTTAAAATAATCAAACTTTTGACACGTTTAACACTTTGAAATTAATTAACTTGATTAATTAATTAATCCAAACAAGCTCTGAGTACTGCGATATAAGCCATCGAAGCCTGTGTTCCACCATGGAATGGCTTGTTGTTCCATCTCTATTCCCATTTTACAGAAGAGGAAACTACTTTCTGCTGAATTCCCTCAGCATCTAGCTCCACGCCAGATGCAGAGTAAGCGCTCAACTAGAAAGTGTGTTGGATGAAGGACAGAGCCTTAGAGAATTAGAAATTGCCCAAGGTCATCCACCCCTCCTGGGTGGCCCAGCTGTCTTTGAAAGCAAGTCCAACAGGAAAGTGGCCAGCAGGACTGAGTGGTGATCCGGAGCTGTGCTACCCCAGGTGGAGTGCAGACTGCGGTCTGGGGCCTGGCCTCGGGCGTCGGGGTCTTCCACTGTGAATACTCCAGCTGCCTCACCCTCCCCGGGGTTTACATCATCCTCTTACTCAGAGATGAGTAGGTTTTGTTTCTTCCACCTCGCGGATCACAGGTGCTCCGGAGCTCTTTACAAAGGAGACGGTTGTTCCAGGATGCTGTCTGGGCCCGGACGCACCCTCGGGGTGTGAGCGATGCTATACCCAGAGGGGATGGGAAATGGCAACGCTTTAATCATCTGGGCGAGGTTCGGTCGGGAACCAGGAAAACTGGAGGTGGCCTGAGAGTTGCGGGATAAGAGGTCGCAAGAGGAGCCACAGGGGGTGAGCCTCTGTCCGGGTTCTCTCTGCTCTCCAACCACACACCAACCCTTCGGACACCCTTTCCCCTGAAAATAATCTGCGGACTGCGCCTCCTCTCCACTAGAGCGAGATCTAGCAAGCCAGTGGCTGGGCGTGCCCTCACCTGCCCCGCCGCGCGCTGGCCCTTGCAGAGCCACTGGGGGCAGCGCAGGGCGGAGACAGTGCACCCTGAGCACCGCGCCCGGTTGGGGGCGGGCGCCCAGTCTCCCCGGGAGGTCCCGGGGCAGCTTTGTCGGTGCACCCTAACTCCAGCGGTCGTCAGCGTAGAGGAGCAGCTGCAGCGACTGGGCGCCCTCCGTGCCCCACTTCTCGTGCTCTCTTTCCCAGCCTGGCCTGGATTGATCTCTGCCCCGGTCTCCAGGGGCGCAGCTCTCCTACAGTAAGTCTTCCAGGCCGGGCGCAGCAGGCTCCAGGAAAGCAGGTGGGTGCTCAGGGGCTGGCGGGGGAGGTAAACTGATGGGCACCGTTGCCTTCTGAGTCCCCTTTCTCCTTCCGTTCTGCAGCACCTTGCAGGGCTGTTGATTTGAAAATAATACTGTCAGAGTGTGAGCAACTTGTGGGCCCTGCGCTTCTAGCTTTGCAAATATAAATTTTCCGTCCAGCCATGAGTGCTGCCTTTAATGGGATGAAGGGCAGGTTCTGTCCACCCAAGATTTGCCCCAGGACATTGCAAGGTCGGCAAAAGACGGGCGGAGTAGCCGTTGGACACTGAGCACCGTCTGGTTTTCCAGGAGAAGCGTCAGGGACTATTTTCCCTGCCTTTTTATTTTTTTATTTTTATTTTTTAATTTTCTGTGAAAGGCGACCCAAACTTCACCCAGGAAACGCACGACTGCCGATGCGCTTTGCCTCTTTTTGGTCGCCTTCGATGCGTTTTCCTAGCTGAGGTTTGCTGCTCTCGCCAACAAGTAACAACTTGCTACAGACAAGGAGTTCACTCAAAAAGAAAAAAAAAAAAAAAACTAAAGAGCCGGAAGATGGGAAAGGAATGTGGAGAAACCAGATTGTCTAATTTTAGCCTCAAAGGGAATCACCAACGTTGTCTAAATGAGTGTTTGGATACCCAGGGGTTAGAAAAAAATAAAAGTCTTATATCTGATTTCCTGTGAAACAAGGAGCAAGGGGTCACGCTTTAAAAAAAAAAAAAAAAAAGTAAAATAAAAGATAAAAAAGACTTTATTTACAAAACATTTTAAACAACTAAACTTCAAATTATAGCATCTTAGAAATTGTTGAGTCTTAAAGTCAGACAGTTCCGATACCAAGTTATTGACTATGAAGAGGCTATTTTTATTTTCTCCTCCTTGGGAAAGATTTGTGTTCATAGAAATGGCTGTGGACCATTTAGTTCACATAGTTATAAGAGTTTTCTTTCATATTGGCATTACAACATTATCAAGGATGTTTCTCAATACGATGGATAAGAATTTGCAATTAGAAAGATCTGGATTTCCATCCATCTCCATGATCTAATAGTTACATGACAAAAAGCCTAATCTCTCTGAGCCCTAGTTTCCTCTTTTTTTAAATCTTTTTTCTAATGTTTTTTATAAATTTATTAATTATTTTTATATTTTATTCACTATGTCTCCTTATGACATACTAAATACATTTTCCCAGCATGAATGCATTGTATTCATTCCAGTCAATGATATTATCATACACATTATCATCAACAGATAATTTTCCATTTTTGTGTCTATTAAATGTTTTGCTTCTTTTTTCTTTACCCTGGTTCTCTCTTCCCATCTCCATTGCCCACCCCCTCCCACATTGTCTCCAGTATCCATCCATAACTGTTCTCCATACTTTTATACCTTTCAATCTTTCAGTTTCTACCATAGAGTGCAGACATTCAGGTATAATTAAGTGGGGCATATGTAATGTCTCTCTCATAGTCTGGCTTGCTTCACTTAACATCAAATCTTCCCTATTTGTCCACTTTCTGTCAAATGCCAGGATCCCATTGTTTTTTATGGCACAGTAGTATTCTGTAGTGTATATTTGCCACATTTTTTCAATCTATTCATCTGTTCATGGACATTTGGGTTAATTCCCTGTTTTTGCAATTGTGAATAAAGCTACAGTGAACAAGAATGTACAAGTGTTTTTCTGACTGAGTGTATTCTTATCCTTTGGGTTGATACCCAGGAGTGGTATTACTGAATCATATGGTGGTTCTATTGGTGGATTTTTGAAGAACCTCCATTGTTCTCCATAGTGGCCGTACTAATTTACATTCTCACCAACAGTGTAGGAGAATTCCTTTTTCACTGCAGCCTCACCAGCACTTATCACTTTTTTTTTCTTTTATCCTAGCCATTCTGACTGGGGTTAGGTGGTATCTCATTGTGGTTTTAATTTGCACCTCCCTTTTGATGAGGGATGTTGAGCATTTTTTCATATGCTTTTTTTTGTTCGTATCTCTTCCTTGGAGAGTTGCCTGTTCAGCTCATTTTCCCATCTTTTAATTTGATTGATTTTTTTTTTCAGATAAGCTGCTTGAGATCCCAAATAGAATTGCCAAGAGCTAACTTGAGGACAGTAGTAAAAGCATAGTACATCACCCAATCAAAACACCTGAGGCTAGAACCCTCCTGCCCCCATTGCCTAGTGCATAAGGGAGCTGGATCTTGTAAGGTGATCACAGTTTGATTTCCAGCCCTGGGGCTTGAAAAATATAATGGACCACCCAAAGACTGGATGGAGAAATGGAGAAAGGATTGCAGCATGACCACACCCCAAGGGAGGGTTGCATTCTCCCTCTCCCTCTTTCTGGCAAGGGCACGTGCCCTCTGGCAATTAATAATAATGATAATAAATGGCCCCCTCAGCTGATGATGACAGTGGGAGCAGGTAGGCCCAATGTAATCTTTATACTGTGAGCCCATGTAAGAGATCCCTACATGGGCCTCTGCATTCGGAAGCATATGCATTGCATCTTAGGAATCCTTCAGGTTGTAAAAGCATAAGCAGCTACTTCTGAGTTCTTAAATTTGATTCAGACACATAAAATCTGTCTTAAACCTGTTCAGATTTGCAGTGTTCAACATTTCTGTTTTATATATTTTGAGATTCTACTATGCTTACAAATGTGCATTTTCAAAAGAACACAAACTTAGTATTACACTGATTGCTTAATTATTGTTTATTATTTAAAGTAATGGGGACCAGACAGTGGTGCAGCAGTAAAACTTGATACCTGCAAGGCTGACCCATATGGGAAGGTTCTGTGTTCAAATCTGGAGACCTCCCTGAATATACTGGGTATGCATCAGTCCATGATCCAGGATGGATGATGAAATCAAGACCCTCTTGGAGGTGTCTGTTTGTCTCTATCTCACTCATGGAATGAATAAATTAAGAAATAACTTTAAAACATTTTTTAAAAATAATAATGTTCCTACAGATATCAGTGTAGTCCCTGATTTAATATAATTTGGGTAGGTTGGAGGAAAGAACTGAGCCCTGAAGTTAATTTTTCACTTAGTTCTTGTGACACTAAGGTGTGAGTGACAGGTAACATAGTGGTTGAGGTGCTAGATGTCCACATAGCAGACCGTGGTTCAAGACCCAGATCTGGCGGCTTGAAAATCACACCAAAAGAGTGTGCATGCATGCCCAAAAATCCCAAAAGGAGAGTGGTGGAGAGGGATTTGAGTTGTGACTATCCGTACTGGAGGTGTGTATGTTGGGGGGTAATTACTCAGTTTCCCTCTCACTGTCTCTGTCTCTCTCTGGTGAGTGCATATACCCTATTAAAAATAAAACTGACTAACTAAAGTGTGAGTCACACACCAGCATGAGCTGGAGTTTGTTCCGAGTACAGGTTCTCTCGTCTGTAATTTTTTTACTTGATTCTTTTGACTCTAAAGTGTGAGCCACAGGCCAACATAACCTGGAATTTGTTAGAAGTGCAGGTTCTCTGGTTCCACCCCAGGCCTACTGAATAGAACCTGCATTTTTAATAAATGTCCCAGGGGATTACTAGTGTGTGCTCCCAGGTAGAGAAGCCCTGAAGTACATTGGTGTTTCTCAAAAATGGGCCTTATGAAAATATGGGTTTCTCATAAGCTCTCCTTACATAGTAAAGTGAAAAAAACTCATTATAATCACTTAAACTACTTTTATTTTAAATATTGAAAATAGCCCACAGCTATACAGTTATTTATTTATGTTTAAAAGTAAGAGAGAGCTGGCATCTCAAGTTTTGTTTGAATACTACCAGTTTGGGATTCTGATTCTCCTTTTACCACCTGAAACATTTCAATTTTGATACTACTTAGCTTCTTCCCTCTCTGCTCCTTCAAAGTAGGGAAAACTGCAGGTGTGACATTCTTACCAATCTGTTTCCTGAGCTTTTTATGTCTGGCACTTGTATTTTTAAATCGTTTGCCAATGAGGTATCCAAAAACGTAATAGATGCATTTTATATCAATTTTTATATTATGCGAAAACAATAAGTAAGCCAAATAAGTGGCGATAATTACTGATGACCTTATTTCGTTTAAGGTGAAACAACACATTATAATCGCTGAAATAGAAATTGTTTTGCTGTATTATTTTTTGAGCTTTCATGCCAAGAAATATCAGTCTTTATAGAGGAATGTAATGATACATTTATATCAGAGATAGTGGAGCTAGTGAAAGCTTTAATAATGTCATTTTTAAGTGCCAACTTTACTGAGGTGTAATTTGCATACAACAAAATGCATTGAACTGTATATTTAAAATCTGTGTGTTTTGTTGCATGCAAATCATGCCTCAATAAAGTTTTTATTTTTTTTTATTTTTTATTTTTTTAGATTTTTGCTATAAGCCACATTTACTTGCCAGAGCAAGACAGAAAGAAAGAAAGAAAGAAATCATCTCCCTGGTACCAGCAGATAGCATAATGGCTATGTGGCTGGACTTTCATGTAGTCAACTGCAGTTCGAGTCCCAGACCCTGTGGCTTAAACTCACGCCAGGCTCATGTGTGTGTGTGCCCAAGATCCTGAGAAAAGAATGGAGGAGAAGGAATTCTGGCATGGCCATCCCCCGGGGGGGGGCGTGATTTCTCACTTTCTGTCTCTCTGTCTCTCTCTGTCTTTCTGGCAAGCACACATGCCCTATAGCAAAAATATTTCCAAATAAAAAAGAAATCACCCCTCTGGGAGGGATGACCATGCCACAATCCTCCTCCTCCATTCTCCTCTCGAGATTTTGGACATACACATACATGCACTTAGCCTGAGTTCCAAGCTGCTGGGTCCAGGACTCACACTGTGGTCAACCACATGGGAGTCCAACACCTTACACACTATACCACATGCTGCTCCATAAATAATTTTTAAAAAATATCATTGGGGATTGCCATCTTGATTGCCTATTTGAATAGTCAAGAGAAGGCTAAAAACGGTCAATAGAGAGGGAAAATGAAGATTGATACGTTGGGTGAACACAATTAATAGTCAAGTGGTCCTTGGAGTTGAATGGAAAGGTAATATAAATTTAGGTGGTTTGAAATCATTCTTATAAGGCTTTTTGTTTTTCAAGTTCAGATAGTGAACTTAATCTCTGGAAGCACTGAGAACACTACAGAGTTTTTTTTGTTCCAGTTTTCTTCTCACATTCTGATCTGTCTCCTTTTTATTCAGCAGACACCTGCCTTTGCCACAATGCTGTCATCCAGTGACTTTGCATCTGCTTCCTGGGAGCTGGTAGTCCACGTTGACCATCCCAATGAGCAAGTGCAAAAAGACATCAAGCTGAGAGTATCCGGAGACCTGCATGTTGGGGGTGTGATATTCCAGTTAGTGGAGCAGATCAGTAAGTTCCTCTCTCTGTGGTTCCTCTGTATCTGACACACTTTCCGGACTAGCGCCGTGAAAAGGCTGGCCTAGGCTATCTGATCAACCGTGGTTTTCTGATCATCCATCTCATGGTGGCCCCGCAAACAGGCTCCCTACCCTCAGGAAGAAGAGGAGAAATGAGGTCCCTGTAAGAGGACCTGAATCTAAACACTCCTGTAAAACTTGAGTCTTCAGCGATAAATGGGACCCATTCCATTGGTGAAATCTAAGGTGACTTTGAGTGTCATGTCATTAGACCAGTGTGCCAGTTCTCCAATTCTCTGTTAATACTTGATTGCTCAGTGAGCAAGTTAGCCTGGTGCTAATGGTTTTTTTGTTTTTTTGTTGTTGTTGTTGTTGAGGTTTGCGCTATAGAGCATGTGCGCTCACCAGACAGACAGAGACAGAGAGACAGAAAGCGAGAAATCACCCCCCAGGGGGGATTGTCACGCCGCAATACCTTTTCCATTCTCCTCTCGAGATTTTGGGCACGCACGCACACGCGCCCGGCATGAGTTTTAAGCCACCAGGTCCAGGACGCGAATCGCGGTCGACTATGTGGGAGTCCAACGACATAGCCATTACGCTAACTGCTGGTTCCCTGGTGTTAATGTCTTTTAACACTATACATCATTTGCTATTGCCCCTGTTTAAACACAGGAAAACAAGACTTCAGATCAGATTCTTCAGATCAGGAATCAACATTTTCAACCTAGACTTTAATAATGTTCTTTTTCCTTTGTATTTATTTTTACCTTCTATTTAAGGCTTTGTATGCTGGCTTTTCATTTATACTAGTGAAATAAATTCTTATTCTAGGTCTTTATTAAAGTAAAATATACACAGAAAAGTACACTTTTCATAAGGGTACAATTTAATGAATTTTCACAGTCATAAACCTACCACCCAGATCAAGAAATAGAACACTGAGCCAGCCAGTGGTGTGGTGTGGCTAGATCCCACATGGCCAACTACATCATTCAAATTCCAGACCCAGCAGCTTGAAAATCATGCTGGTTGCATGCACGTGCCCAAAAATCCCCAAAAAAAAAAGAATGGAGGAGAAGGTATTGCAACATGGCCGTCCCTCCTGAGGGGTGGTTTCTTACTTTATCTCACTTTCTCTGTCTCTGTCTCTCTTTCTAGTGAGTGCACACACTCTATAGCAAACCTATTTTTAAAAAGAAGAAGAAGAAGAAGAAATGGAACATTAGCTATTCCCCTACCCAGGCCCAGTAGGGGAACTTGACTCATCCCACACCACAGGAATAGTACTGCTTGGTTTTTGACTTTATATATGTGGAATTATATAGGATCTACTCTTACACGTCTACTTTGTGTCTGTGCGATTTACCCATATTGGTGCATATAGGTTTTGTTCATTTATTTTCACTGTTGTATAATATTCATTGTGTGCATATGTCACTATTTATTAGCCTCATAACAGACATCTGGGTTGTTTCCATTTGGGGACTCTTACAGATAGGGTTGCTATAATACATACCTTTTGGTGAGCATTTCTGTTGCATATATAGCTCAGAGAGCAAATGCTGAATCGTAGAGTTTTCCAAAACTACCAACTTCTGCTTCCACTAGCAACACTGAGAGAAAGGCTTTCTAACATGGAGAGCGAGACTATTTAAGCAAATGTAACAAGTAAGTAAAAATACTGATGGCTTTTAATTTAGCAAAATAAAAGATTGATTATTGATCCCAACGTTAATGAAGAGAAGATTCAGCTATAGCACCAACGTCAAGGAGGAGAAAGATTCAATATTGACACAGGATTGAGAGCGAACATGTCCAACTCTGGTTTCAACGTGCACACTTCAGAAAATGAGAATATGGTGGTCCTGATAAGTTGAACCGTACTGAGCTGACTGAAATCCCAGTTTTATTATACTTCTCTGTGAACTTTGGGGACTCTTGGTACTCCCTTATGATCCACGGGTCCAAGGATACATTTCTATAAGAGAAATAAAATTGGTTAAACACAGCCAAATGCTTCTGACCTTTGCAGAAAGGAAGAGAGCACACACAGAGATTTTAGAGAAGATAACTTCAGCCTTCATCACAAACAAGTGTCTTGTTTCTATTCTTCCCACAGTATTTAAACTTGATTTATTTAAGGGTCACACAGTTTTCTCTCTGCCTTGCCTTAGAGAATTTAGAGACAAACCAAGGATGAAGTCTTGAATTGTAAAAAGAGATAGGGAACTTGGGGGACCAGCAGATGGCGTAATGGCTACATCGCTGGACTCCCGTGTAGTTGACTACGGTTCAAGTCCCGGACCCAGTGGCTTAAACTCACACCAGGTGTGTGTGCATGAGTGCCCAAATCCCTAGAGGAGAATGGAGGAGAAGGGATTGCGACGTGGCCATCCCCCTGGGGGTGATTTCTCACTTTCTGTCTCTCTATCTCTCTCTGTCTTTCTGGCGAGCACACACACCCTATAGCAAAAACCTTAAAAAAGAGAGAGAGAGAGAGGGAACTGAAGATCTGTTGTTTCAGTTTTTGCACATATCAGATCGATTCTGAAATCAATCCTGCACCCTCTATGCTGGGCTCACTCTCACTTGACTTTATCATGTTTTCCATTTTTGCAGAAATACCCCAAGACTGGTCAGACTTTGCCCTTTGGTGGGAACAGAAGCATTGCTGGCTTCTGAAAACCCACTGGACCCTGGACAAATATGGCGTCCAGGCAGATGCAAAGCTTCTCTTCACCCCTCAGCATAAAATGCTTCGTCTGCGCCTGCCCAACCTGAAGACCGTGAGATTGCGTGTCAGCTTCTCGGCTGTGGTTTTCAAGGCTGTCAGTGATATCTGCAGAACTCTCAGTGAGTACCATGGAGGGCCCCTGCAGCCTTTAGACTCTTAGGAAAGGAAGACAGGAAAATGATGTGTGCTTTCTGCTGCTTCTAGCAGTGAATTAGAGAACACTCCTTTAGAAGCAAGCTCGCAAGCACACTTTTTTCCTTTTTTTTTTTTTCCTAAACGGCACGTGCACTCATCAGAGACAGAGAGAGAGGGAAAACGAGAAATCACCCTCTGGTGAGGGGATGACCATGCCTCAATCCCTTCTCCTCCATTCTCCTCTCAGGATTTTGGGCATGCTAGCACACACACTCAGCATGTGTTTAAAGCCACCATGTCCAGGACTCAAACCATGCAGTTGGCCATGCGGGGTTCATGCCAGGCATGTAGGTGTGCATGCCCAAAATCTCAAGAGGAGAATAGAGGAGAAGGGATTGTGGCACAACCATTTCCCCTGGGATGATTTCTCTCTCTCTCTCTCCCTCTCCCTCCCTCTCCCTCTCCCTCTCCCTCTCCCTCTCTTTGTCTCCAGCAAGCACACATGCCCTATAGCAAACAAAAAAAAAAAAAGTGGGGGAGAGGTACGGGCAGAATTGGACTGCAGAGAGTAAGAAGGACAGTAGCAACAGAGTTGGGAATGCCATTGTTGGGGGCTGGCATGACATTACTTAGGGTGAGGGCAGAAAGTGTTGCCTGGGCATCTCTGCATTCCAGATTCCCAAATGCGTGGAACCTTCCATTGCAGAATGGGAGTTCTGGTAGTAACCTTGATGCAAGTGGGCAAATGGCAAACCCAGGACACTTTATCTTCAGGAACGTTCTAGTGAGGATTTGGCCTGGAAGCACACATCATAGTTGAGGCTGCAGTAAGCTAGAGGTTTCAAAATAAACAGCAGCAGTCGGATGGTATCTTTACTATAGTTTTAAGGACCCAACTTGGTATTTCAAATCATTGCATTTTTTTATCTGATCATTTGAAACTAAGTCGAATTTAGCAGTTTGAGGGGTTTTCCCTAAAAGAACAAAAATGGCACAGATTTAGGGGTTGAAGATACAGGGTTTTGGCTTTGTTGTTTTGTTTTGCTTTTTTTTCTTTAAGTTTGCCAGAGTGTACATGCTCTTGCCAAAGAGAGACACAGAGGTCAAGAGAGAAAGCACCCCCCAAGGGCTATGGTCATGCCACACACACACATCTAGTGTGTTTCTCAAGCCACTGGGTCCAGGACTCAAACCACACAGTCACATGTGAGATCCAGCTCCATTAGTCACCCAGGCAGGGACCAGTCCTTATTTTCCTTTAGTTTTTAAACAAATACTTATTTAAGTTTACTTATTTTTTTTATTATTATTTTTATTTGCTACAGGGCATGTGCACTCACCAGAGAGAGAGAGAGAGGGAAAGTGGAAAAGAGAGCTGCCAGATCTGAGACTCGAACCACTGTTAGCCATGTGGGAGTCCAATGCCCCAACCATCATGCCACCTGCTGGCCCCCCTTACTTTGCTTTTCATACCTGTGCTGGAATTTCTGGTTCATCATCAGGTTTTGTGTATAAATTATGCGTTTGGAATGGCCACAGGAATGTGCTGCAATTTGGTAATTAGAGACTTAGGCTGACTTGCAGGTCAGTCCCAGCGTAAGTAGTGGCTACACTGAGGATATTGGGAAGATCTGATGGAATCAGCACCCTTACCTCCAGTTATCCAGAGCCTCTAACACACCCACATTCCTTGTCTTTCACCTGGGATTATAGGTACTCAGTGCAGTTAATGGTTTTCAGCAATTCTGGTCAAATAACAAATGTATCTGACTGAAGGGGAAATGACATTATCATAGTTTCAGTTCTCCAGAAGCAGGCCCTGAGATAAGGATTCAACTATAAATAGTTTAGTTGGGAGATGACCAGGAAAGAGGGAAAAAAAGCAAGAAAAAGAAAAAGAAAGAAAGATGCAATTTATTTATTTATGTCTCAAGAATTTCCTAAGAAACAGTTTCAAATACATAGTGACTGAGTCTTAGAAGTAATTTTCTCTTTTTTTTTTGAAGAGTTTTGCCTTTTCAAGAGTATGGGTTTGTTTTATTTTTTTAAGAATTATTTCTTTTATTTATTCATTCATTTTTATTTTATTTTATTTATTTTTAATTTGACCAGAGGGAGACAGAGAGAGAGAGAGAACACGTGAGAAAGGAAGCCACCAGGTCCAGGACTCAAACCATTGTTGGCCATGTGGAAGTGTCCAGCACCTTAACCACCATGCCACTTGCTGGTCCCAACTTTCTCTTTATTTTAAAGAAATAGTTGTTTTAATTTTATTTTTAGATATTAGAAGATCAGAAGAACTTTCCTTGTTAAAGCCTTCTGGTGACTATTTTAAGAAGAAAAAGAAAAAAGACAAAAATAATAAGGAGCCCTTAATTGAAGATATTCTAAACCTGGAGAGTTCTCCAACAATTTCAGGTTCACCAGGTAAGATCTCTGACAGATATTTTAACTTGTAAACATAGATTAAAACCCAAGAGAAAAATATACCTCTTCTCACAGCCCTAGGCAAAGGAGGAATGAAATGGCTGTTTTGATATAATGAAGAAAGTATATCCAATCTCTCTGTCTCTGTCTCTCTGACGAGTACACGTGCCCTATAGCAAAAATCTCCTTAAAAAATAAAATAAAATAACAGAAATTCATTTCAGGCTTTTTTCCAACAGTTATTCTTAATAAATCATTATTTTAACTGCATAACTTATGTTGTTGATGAATGCAAACTTTTAGTATGACTGGCTATGAATTTGGAATAAGAGCAGTATTGATAGAAAGGAGATAAGTTGAATGACTCAAATAAACTTCTCTCCTCCTGATTCTGTTCTCATATTAGCCTTTCCTGAATTCAGTTTTTCACAGGGTGTATAAGAAGGATAGGCAAAATGTCTGGAAAGGCATCATCCCTTTGTTTTCGTAGCAAAATAATCAACTTTGTAGTTTACTGCAACACTGAGGGCTTTCTTGCATGGAATATGTCAGAACAGAAAGGGTCATTATGATTTCTTTATGCAAATTACAGACAGATTATCAGCTTGCTGGATTCTTAAAATTGCCACTACTTAAAGGGCTGTCTGAAACTTACGTATGTGTATTTTGTGGGGATCTAAGTTTGCGAACTGTACTGAAACTTCTGCTGAAATTGAACTTTGACTTGTATTAGAAAAGAGCTCTCCAGCATTTGTCTATGTTGATTTTTTTAAAGTTTGTTTATTTCTATTCATGAGAGAGTGCATATGTACAATGAGAAAGAGAGCGCCCTCAATAAGGTCTCATGTAGCAGTCCCCTTCACTGACATTCTAGATCAGCAGGATCTTGGACACATGCATACCCAGTGTGTTTCACGTTGAGTGGGAACCCAAACCCATAGTTGGCCATGTGGCTTCCAGCACCGCACTTCCATACACTCCCACCTGCTCCACTGAGACTGGGCTTTGACTACGTTGATTTTTTGAAGTTTTGTTTTGTTTTGTTTTGTCTTGCTATAGAACACACGTGGTGCTCACCAGAGAGAGAGAGATCCTGGGGGAATGGCTGCACCACAATCTCCTCTCCTCCATTCTCCTCTTGAGATTTTGGGCACTTACACACACACTCCTGGAGTGATTTTCAAGCCACTGAGTCCAGGACTTGAACCTTACAGTCAGCCATGTGGGATCCAACATTTTAACTTCCTTGCCACCTGCTCGCCCAACTTTTAAAAGCTTTTATCTTTGAGCGCCTAAGTTTTTCTGGAACTGAATATATAAACAAAATCTTTACCTGTGTTTAATTTCCCTACTATCATGACTCATTAAATTTAATGGTACAAACATTCAAAGTCAAAAAAAAAATTTTTTTGGAGAGGTTTTTGCTATAGGGCACGTGCACTCGCCAGACAGACAGAGAGAGACATAGAGACAGAAAACAAGAAATCACCCCCCAGGGAGGATGGCCACGCCACAATCCCTTCTCTTCCATTCCCCTCTTGGGATTTTGGGCACGCACGCACACGCGCCTGGCGTGAGTTTTAAGCCACCGGGTCCAGGACACGAACCGCGGTCGACTATGTGGGAGTCCAGTGACATAGCCATTACGCTAACTCCTGGTCCCTTCTAAAGTCAAATTTTATTGGGAATAGCAGATGGCATAATGGTTACATTGCTGGACTTCCACATAGTCGACCACAGTTCAAGTCCCAGACCTAGCAGCTTAAAACTCACTGGGCACATGTGCATGCATGCCCCAAATCCCAAGAGGATAATGGAGGAGAAGGTACTGCAGCGTGGCCATTACCCCAGAGAGTGATTTCTCACTTTCTGTCTCTCTGTCTCTCCAGTGCATACACGTGCCCTACAGCAAAATCTCTCTTAAAAATAAATAAATAAAATCAAAATTTCTTTTAGCATAAGTAATGTTAGTACTTCTTTTTGTAAAAAATTCGTTCTCTGGGAAACCAGCAGTTAGCGGCGTAATGGCTATGTTGCTGAACTCCCACGTAGTCGACCGCAGTTCGCGTCCCAGACCCGGTGGCTTAAAACTCACGCCGGGCGCGTGTGCGTGCGTGCCCAAGATCCCAAGAGGAGAATGGAGGAGAAGGGATTGCGGCGTGACCATCCCCCCTGGGAGGTGATTTCTCGCTTTCTGTCTCTCTGTCTCTCTCTGTCTGTCTGGTGAGCGCGCGCCCTATAGTGATAAACCTCTCCAAAAAAAAAAAAAGAATTCGCTCTCTGAATCTCATCTCACAGTGCATCTCCCCTTGCCTTGCAGTAAGCCCTGGCTTGTACAGTAAAACCATGACTCCTATATACGACCCCATTAATGGCACACCCGCATCATCCACCATGACTTGGTTCACTGACAGCCCTTTGACGGAACAAAACTGCAGCATCCTCGCATTCAGCCAGCCCCCGCCATTGCCAGAAACACTTGCTGACATGTACCAGCCTCGGTCTGTGGTTGATAAAGCCAAGCTGAATGCAGGGTAAGGACTTGGCTCATTTTGCTTCTCTCTGAACAGGTGCTGACAGTCAGAGACATGGCGGGAGTGTCTCTTTTTTGTTTTTAACTTTTGCCAGAGAGTATGCATATTCACCAGAGAAAGAGACAGCGGGCAAGGAATGAGAAAGCCCCAATAAGGAATAGTCCTATCATTGCAGAAAGTTCTAGAGAATAAGGTAGAGCTAGCTAAAGTTCTAGAGAATAAGGTAGACCATTGCTGTGGTGAGGTAGCGTGGACTGTCAAAGGTATAAATCCTCATGCTGGCTCCACCGAGAAACCTGTAACACTGAAAGGATCATCTGATTTCCCTGAGATTCGGGCTCTTCATCTGTAAAACTAAAATGATAACTTCCCTGCCTCCTTCACTGAATTACTTTATAGTGTCAATAAGGGGACCAGCAGATGGCATGATAGCTACGTTGCTCGACTCCCATGTAGTCAATCACGGTTCAAGTCCCAGACCCGGTGGCTTAAACTCACACCAGGCACGTGTGCCCAAGATCCCAAGAGGAGAATGTAGGAGAAGGGATTGCGGGATGGCCATCCCCCACCCCGGGGAGGGGGGGGTCTCGCTTTCTGTCTCTGTCTCTTTCTGGCGAGCACATGTGCCCTATAGCAAAAACCTCTCCTAAATAAATTAAGTGTCTATGAGAAAAAAATAACTAAATAAAAATATATACTGGGGGGACCAGCAGTTAGCATAATGGCTATGCCGCCTAACTCCCATGTAGCCCACCGTGGCTCGAGTCCCAGACCCGGTGGCTTAAACTCACGTCAGGCGCGTGTGCATGTGTGCCCAAGATCCAGAGAGAATGGAGGAGAAGGGATTGTAGTGTGGTCATCCCCCCAGGGGATGATTTCTCACTTTCTATCTCTCTGTCTCTCTTTCTGTCTTTCTGGCGAGTGCACACGCCCTATAGCAAAAACCTCTCCAAAAAAAAGAGATTAAATTGGGACAGTCATGACACATTTTTTCATAGAAAAAATATATTTTATATATATATAATATAAATTATATGTTATATATGTTATTACATGCTTACTGATTTTGCTTATATTACTCTATGTTCATAGATATATAGACATCCACATACATACATGAAGGTTCTTCTAAAAGTTCATGGAAAATGCATGTTGTGAAAAAATATACATAGATTTCCATTTTTTTGGCACCAAAATACACTTTGTACTTTAATTCCATTTTCCACAAACTTTTTGAAGTCTTCTTGTGTGCATGTGTGTACATGTGTATAGCCTAATAATAATAATATATATCAATGTAAAAACATTGCTTAAGATTTATTTTATTTATTATTACTTAATTTGACCAGAGAGAGAGGGAAAGTGAGAAGGCAAGCCACCAGGTTCAGGACTCAAACCGCCGTCAGCCAGGTGGAAGTCCAGCACTCCAACCACCACACTACCTGCTGACCCCTAAACTGACTGACTTTTTAAACTCACCGTTATCTTCCAGCTGGCTAGATTCCTCGCGCTCTCTTATGGAACAAGGCATCCAAGAAGATGAGCAACTGCTGCTTCGGTTTAAATACTACTCTTTTTTTGACTTGAATCCTAAAGTAAGATCCTTTTTCTCTTTTTTTTTTTTTTTTTTTTTAACGTAGATGTATGGTAGTGTAAAATTGAGTCATTGGTAATCTTAATCAAAATTAGGATTCCTGTGTGTGGCCTTCCTTTTAGCTGAGCTATGCGGGTTAGATGACTCCATGTACACCGGGCTCTGCCTTGTCATCTCGGGGTTTCTAGTGCGCGTGGTCAGCTGCCCCCGTGGAAGCAGGAGTCTCCAAGGCTCTTGGCGCCCCACACAGTGTACACCACTGCCCTGCACTCGAAGTGAGGAGGGAGCAAGGAGAAGCTCACAGAGTTAGAGTCCTTAATGCTAGGAAGGAAAGGAGTTATCAGAGACAGGGGTTAAGGGCAGGTTCTCGTGAACAAGCCAGGGCCACCTACCTGGTGGTGCACGCAAGACTTCCTACTGCTATGCCTAACAAGCCTTCTATGCTGAGAAAGAGGGATCATCTATGTGAATAAAGATCCAACTGGTTACCACCTCCATTTTCAGTGGGGTTTCAGAGCACCGCAGGTCTACCTCCTGAGTGTGTGAGGACAACTCACGAGGCGTGAGATCTGTCCTTTGGTCTTCTGCCCCTTCCTTGTTCCCTGCAGGTTAGCCGCGTTGTAGAGTGGTGAGTCAGCAGTTAAATGGCCCAGCAGATTAATGGCTAGGCAGCCAGTCATCTGAGTACACAGGGTGACTCCGTTGCCTTGTTCCCCCCAAATTTATGCTTGTTGTTCTTTTCCACTTACTTCTGGGCATTTGTTTGAGCTGCTTGCTTACATCAGCTTTTCAGTACAGACCTCCTCCTGCTCTACCAGGATCTCTTGGCTCTGTCTTCTTGGTCCTAATGTGAAGTCTGGTCTTTGGTGGTCTGCAGCTTCCCTGACATCTTCTTCCAAATAAACCCTATTCCTTGTCATTTCAACAGTTTAGACCCACATTAATACCCATGGACCTGGCTTGTATCCAGGGTGCATAACTGCTACTGAATCATAAGCTAAAGGGAACCAGCAGTTAGCATAATGGCTATGTCGCTGGACTCCCACATCGTCGACTGCGGTTCACGTCCCGGACCCAGTGGCTTAAAAAAACTCACACCGGGCGCGTGTGCGTGCGTGCCCAAGATCCTGAGAGGAGAATGGAGGAGAAGGGATTGCGGCGTGACCATCCCCCCTGGGGGGTGATTTCTTGCTTTCTGTCTCTATGTCTCTGTCTGTCTGGCGAGCACACGCACCCTATAGCAAAAAAAAAACTCTCAAAAAAAAAATCATAAGCTAAAGAGCAAATTTTGGCCTTTTTTTGATAAAACCTTCCGGAGAAATTACAGTACTGATTCTCCTAAACAACTGGTGAGGTGTTTTTTAAAGCATTGTGAATCGTACAACTGTCCATGTTGTTCATATGTAGGATTACGATACAAAAGAGTTCGTTTGAACTGTAGCAACCAAAATCTTTCTCAAAGTAGAATAATATATATGCTGAATCATGCATGGTGAGCATTATTTGAAGATAGCATCAACAACTCTGGAGCAATAGGAAAAATCTGTGACTCTAGTGGACACAAAGTGACAAGTACACAGTAATATTATGATTTATTGCCTACGTCCTTCCTACAAGGAAATGCTAAATTTCCACTAGACGTTCATGCAAATCGAGATGTAGTTTTCCTTGTCCAAGCTCATGGTTCACTGAACTCTGACTCCCAAGTCCAAGAACTCCAGAGTCAGACCACTTGCACCGAGAACACATTCAAATCATGCTGCTTCCAGAAAGGGTCTTTTCTCTATGCTAGGCCACATGGAAATGCCTTTCTCTTCTGTAAGCTACAACCAACTGAGAATTGCATGATTTCAGGCCTCAGACCTCAGTTGTACCACATGCATAAGTGGTTTTTTCACAGTTAGGCTGCAGAGTCATTGGAGACAGAGACCACGTCTTTGCCCCACACTGCCACATGCCTCAAGGATGCTGTGAGAGTCATTGTTACCAATTTAGTCACCTTGTCAATGATAGATCACCTGGTCCCAGGGACCCTCCCAGCAATAAATCCCTTGTTTCAGAATGGAGCTTAAGCTAAAAAGAAATCAGCTCTGTCGTCTGCCCCTGAAAAAAATGGTCAGGAAAGTGGAAATGACCTTATAGTCAAGGAATCCAGACATGGCAGATGATCAGAAAGATATCACACATGGAGGAACATGTTAAATATGCATATGTCTGAAGAGTTAGAAGAAGTAAAAGGAATTATACTCCCAGAAGGTGGCCAGGACATTGAAATTGAGGATCACTGAGGCTATTGTCTTGGACACTTTGGCCTCCTCTTCTGCTTAATTGGTAAGGAGTTTTTTTTTTATGGTCCATGAAGTGAAATTTGAATCTAACAGCCAGAGGCAGCTAACAACTCAAAGCTGACAGAAGACTCAGTCTAATGTGATGTGTCTTTTGGACACAGGTCAGTGATCCCAATCACTCTAGAGTTGTGGCAGTACCCTCCCTCCCTCACCACTTAAAGTTGCAAGAAGTATAAATAAAACCAAGTTTAAGGCCCAGCCATGGTGGTGCGGCAGTAGCATGCTGTTCTGCAATGCTGGAAGCCACATGAAGGGTCAGAGGTTAGTTCCTGGGTCAACCAATACATGCCTGGCACATGCACATGTACTCATGATTCTGGCTGACTGAGAAGGCTAAGGGGAAGATTGTGGTGTGAGATGCTGTTGAGAGTGCTTGACCTTCTCTCTCTCTCCCTCTTCCTCTCTCTGTTTCTCTGTCATGAAAGAAATACAGTCTTTAAGAAGTTCATGAAAAATGTGTATTATAAGAAAAACCATGCCTAGATTTCCAGTGTTTTTGCACCAATATAAACTTGTACTTTAATTTTATTTTTTCATGAACTTTTTGAAGTCCCCTTATAAATAAACTGTTTTTTAAAGTTTAAAACTCCTACTCTGTTCTGTGTAGTAACAGGGGATGTGGAAATGTAAAACATTGTTTACGTTTTCATGGAATCTGCAATCAAATTATAAAGAGCAAAGACAGTAACCATGACACCACTGAGGCACAGAAGGCCCCTTACAAGAAGGACCGAATTCTACAGTGTACACTCGGAGCTTCTCTGACTTTCAGAGGAGAGTTGTGTACAGGTCATAGGTCCAAAGTAACAGGTGCCAATTTAATCTCAGATATATAAACTACTATAATACAACATTTCAAAAATAATGTACCAAAAAGATGCAAACTCTAGAATCCATAAAAGAAAAGATTGATACATTTTAATAAAAAATGAAAATGTTATCCATGATCGAAAATACTATTTTAAAGAGTCTTTGCAACAAATATTGCAAACAATAAACTGACTTCCCTGCTATATAAAGAGTTCCTGGGAACCAGCAGTTAGCGTAATAGCTATGTCGCTGGACTCCCACGTAGTCGACCGCAATTCGCGTCCCGGACCCAGTGGCTTAAAACCCACGCCGGGCGCGTGTGTGCGCGTGCCCAAGATCCCGAGAGGAGAATGAAGGAGAAGGGATTGCAGCGTGACCATCCCCTCTGGGGGGTGATTTCTCGCTTTCTGTCTCTATGTCTCTCTTTGTCTGTCTGGCGAACGCACGCGCCCCAGAGCGAAAACCTCTCCAAAAAAAAAAAGAGTTCCTATGAATCCGTAATAAAGAGACTTAACAACCCAGTAGACTAATGGGCAAAGGATGTGAACACAGTTCATGGGAAGACTACAATAGCTTATGTTGGCAAAGATCAAAAAGCTTCACACTCTTATCTTAGTAAGACTGGAGAAACAGGCACTCTCATACACCCTTGTGTCAAAGTACAAATTAATCTAGCCTCTGTAGAAGGCACTTTGGCAATATCTATCAGAATTACAATTCTATATAGCTTTGGTCCATCAAGTCCACTCCCAGGTTATGCTCAAACATACAGATTGATATGTATTAGCATGTGTACAAGGACAGTTATTACTACATTATTCGTTCTAGGAAAACATTGGAAACCCTCCCCCCCACAGATGTCCAGCAGTAAAGAATTGGTTAAATGCATTATGAAACATCCATGCCAAGTTGCTGTTAAAAAAGAATGAATCGGCTCTCTTTTGATATGAAACATACATGAATGAACAGAGCCAAGATACAAGACAGTCCATAGAGAAATTACCATCTGTAGTTTCAAGGAATAGAGAGACATTAACTTGTTATTGTCTACTCTTTTTTCCCTTTTAAATTCATTCAAAACAAATCTTTTTGTGTGTATTCTTTTGCCCCTTATAAATACATTCAAAAATGCCTGAATTACAAAAAAAAAAAAAATACATAGCTAATGGTTCATAGTATGTTAATTTTTAGTAAAGGAAAATTGCATGTTTTCATAAGAGACTTGGAGGATGTTAAAAGCTGCTACCAGGCTAAGAAGTGATTATATCTAAATGGTAACCTGTTGGAGAGCATGAAAACTATGATAAGTAGGTTATGACATTTCATATTGCTGACTGACAGAAGCAGGGCGGTTTACTGAACTGACTAGACGGAGAAAAACAGGGATTCAGGGAGTAGATGTGGTAGAATCCATGTACTTCCAGCTTGGGCTCTCCATTTTCAATGAGCCAAGAGCCAACAAAAATCTTGAGCCAAAGAGAGGGCATGAATAGCCAATCTCCACCAAGGGGATTGGTGAGATTGCCAATCCCACCCACTGAGAGAGTTCTCTGAGAGACGTCCTGTAGGATTCCTACTGATGACTTATGAAAGGACCTTGTGATGTTCCAGTGCCTCAGTGGAAATATGAACAAACCTCTAAGAGGAAACTCCTTAGCCTTAGCCAGGAAATCCTGTGATATTCAGGGAGAGACAGGCCTCAGCCTTTATCTAGTTATGACATCGTATTCTAGTCCTGTGTTTCCTTAATGTTAACTTGTACGTGTAAGAAATGTTTATTAAAAAATTCTTTTAGAGAATTTTTTTTATTATCTTGTGGGGATATAAGGATGTCCACGTGTGGAAGCTTTCACTACATTTTTTTAAATCTTTCTTGAATGCATTTGAGAGAAGTCTTATTGTGACTTACTCTGACTGAAACTCCTACAACATTAGGGTCATAGACACTCCTACAAAGAGACAGTTAGATATGATAGTTTGCTAACTCAATTCCTTATTTTTGCTTATTTTTACTTATTTTTGAGGGCCAGCAGATGGTGTCATGGTTATGTCACTGGGCTCCCACATAGTCCACCATAGTTCAAGTCCTGGGCCCAGTAGCTTATTACTCACACTGAGTGTGTATGTGCCCAAAATCCCAAAAGGAGAAAGCAGGAGGAGAAGGGTTTGTGGCATGGCCACACAAACACACACACACCACCACCCCGTGAATGATTTCTCATTTTCTGTCTCTCTGTTTTTCCCTGTCTCTCCTGCAAGCGCATGTGCCCTGTAACAAAAATCTCTCTCTGAAAAAAATAATATTTATTTGGGGACCAGCAGATGGCATAATGGTTACATCGCTGGACTCCCACATAGTTGACAGCAGTTTGAGTCCCGGACCTGGCAGCTTAAAACTCAACTCCAGGCACATGTGTGTATATGCCCAAAATCCTGAGAGGAGAATGGAGGAAAAGGAGTTGCAATGTGGCCATCCTCACTGGGGAGTGATTTCTTGCTTTCTGTCTCTCTGGCAAGCTCACACACTCTATAGCAAAAATCTCTCTTAAAAAAAAAAAAAAATACTTATTATCCAGTCTCCAGAGTACCACATATTTAGTTTTGCACTTCTCTTCCTCTCCCAGCAATTTTAGAAATGCTGAGAACAAGTGTGCCTGGACAACAGGTCACATTTCCGACTTATCTGACAACAACATTATTTGCATTATTTTTTATTTACTTCAGATTTTTACATTCCCTATCAACTTTTTTCTTAGTATGCGTAGTGTTAATATAAAAGGAAAAGCATTGCCCATGCCTTGGTCCCATCTCTTCATGCCATCAAAATTCTGGACGTGCAGGTAGGTGCCCAGCATGTTTTTCAACCACTGGGGCCAGGATTTGAACTGTGGTAGCCATGTGGGATTTGGCTCTCTCAACCACTAGGCTATAGGCTGGCCCAGGCTAGGCATTTTCAACACTATTTATAGTATAGAATTCTTTCTCCCCTACGGAACTTAAGTGCTTTTTTTTTTTTCCTTAGATTTTTGGCATAGGGTGTGTGTGCTCACCAAAGAGAGACAGAGAGAAAGTAAGAAATCACCCTCCAACAAGGATGACCATACCACAATCCTTCTCCTCCAATCTCCTCTCTGGATTTTGGGCACACACACACACACTCATGCCCAATGTGATTTTTATGGTACCCTCTCCAAGACTAGGACAGCACATTCAACCATGTGCAATCCAGCCACCCTAACCTCCACACCACCTGCAGGCCTTGTAAATGTCCTTCTGAAAAATCCTTACTAGATTCTATTTGGGATTACCCTGAGTTTGCAAATTGGTTTGGGGATCCTCTCTCCTTTACATGACCACAAAAACCATTTTCACTGTTTTTACTATCAATAGAAGTGTGAGAAAAGAAAAGGAAAATAATGGAATCCAAGATACATCATTTGGGCCCCTCAAAGAAACTGTGGAAAATATTTGAGGGGGAAGAACTAGAGTTAAACTAGAACAGTGGGAAGATAAAGGTGTGTTCCTTTCAGCTGGCCTGAACTAAAGGTTATTGCATCTGATTAACAGAGCTTGTCCTCAATTATTGCAGAATTTGTGTATGGTGGGATATAAATATGTCCTGTGTGCACGTGCACACACACATATCTGTTTCTTTCTCTAGTATGATGCGGTCCGAATAAACCAGCTCTATGAACAAGCCAGGTGGGCTGTTCTCTTAGAAGAAATTGACTGCACAGAGGAGGAAATGTTGATCTTTGCAGCTCTACAGGTATGGGGACCTCAACATCTTTTCTCTGGAAAGAGACAAACCAAGTTTGTTCTGCTAAAGTTTCATATTCTATATAATGTTTTTTCCTCTGAAGAAAAGAACTAATAATGAGAGGAGTACATTTAAAAGTAAAATGCTTCTCATTGTCCACATATATACACTGCCTTTGTCTCACGGTTCTTAACTCTTCTCTATGATAAACACTTTGGGTCACGGAGAAGAACCAAGTTTGAGTGTAACTAACCATAAATCTCAGAATGATTAACTTAAAATGTCTTTCTTTTTTCTTGTTTTTTCCCCCTGAACAATAAGATCTCCTTTCAGGAGATGTCAGTATTCCAAAGGAATTATCTCCAAAGAAGAAATGGCTAATGGACTCGCTTGTGTTTGTAATGTTTCTGTAACCTCTGTTTTCATTTCAGTATCACATCAGCAAACTCTCACTGTCCGCTGAAACACAGGATTTTACAAATGAGTCTGAGGTCCAGGCTAGGCATTTTCAACACTATTTATAGTATAGAATTCTTTCTCCCCTACGGAACTTAAGTGCTTTTTTTTTTTTCCTTAGATTTTTGGCATAGGGTGTGTGTGCTCACCAAAGAGAGACAGAGAGAAAGTAAGAAATCACCCTCCAACAAGGATGACCATACCACAATCCTTCTCCTCCAATCTCCTCTCTGGATTTTGGGCACACACACACACACTCATGCCCAATGTGATTTTTATGGTACCCTCTCCAAGACTAGGACAGCACATTCAACCATGTGCAATCCAGCCACCCTAACCTCCACACCACCTGCAGGCCTTGTAAATGTCCTTCTGAAAAATCCTTACTAGATTCTATTTGGGATTACCCTGAGTTTGCAAATTGGTTTGGGGATCCTCTCTCCTTTACATGACCACAAAAACCATTTTCACTGTTTTTACTATCAATAGAAGTGTGAGAAAAGAAAAGGAAAATAATGGAATCCAAGATACATCATTTGGGCCCCTCAAAGAAACTGTGGAAAATATTTGAGGGGGAAGAACTAGAGTTAAACTAGAACAGTGGGAAGATAAAGGTGTGTTCCTTTCAGCTGGCCTGAACTAAAGGTTATTGCATCTGATTAACAGAGCTTGTCCTCAATTATTGCAGAATTTGTGTATGGTGGGATATAAATATGTCCTGTGTGCACGTGCACACACACATATCTGTTTCTTTCTCTAGTATGATGCGGTCCGAATAAACCAGCTCTATGAACAAGCCAGGTGGGCTGTTCTCTTAGAAGAAATTGACTGCACAGAGGAGGAAATGTTGATCTTTGCAGCTCTACAGGTATGGGGACCTCAACATCTTTTCTCTGGAAAGAGACAAACCAAGTTTGTTCTGCTAAAGTTTCATATTCTATATAATGTTTTTTCCTCTGAAGAAAAGAACTAATAATGAGAGGAGTACATTTAAAAGTAAAATGCTTCTCATTGTCCACATATATACACTGCCTTTGTCTCACGGTTCTTAACTCTTCTCTATGATAAACACTTTGGGTCACGGAGAAGAACCAAGTTTGAGTGTAACTAACCATAAATCTCAGAATGATTAACTTAAAATGTCTTTCTTTTTTCTTGTTTTTTCCCCCTGAACAATAAGATCTCCTTTCAGGAGATGTCAGTATTCCAAAGGAATTATCTCCAAAGAAGAAATGGCTAATGGACTCGCTTGTGTTTGTAATGTTTCTGTAACCTCTGTTTTCATTTCAGTATCACATCAGCAAACTCTCACTGTCCGCTGAAACACAGGATTTTACAAATGAGTCTGAGGTTGACGAAGTAGAAGCAGCACTTTCTAATTTGGAAGTGACCCTAGAAGGTGGAAAAGCAGACAAAACTTTGGTATGAACTTTTCCGGTGATTTGAAACTGTGGCTTAGTTCTGTCTGCTAATACAGGTACCTCAAAAAGTTCATGGACAGGGCCAAATGGTGACACAGCAGTACAATGCAATGTTCTGTGATACAATCCCACATGGGAAGGTTCCCAGTTCAAGTACAAAGACCTCCCTCAGTACACGAGGTATACACATGCCTATAATCCAGGGCTAGCTGAAGCTAGGTATGAATTACGGTTATTAAGAATTTACTAATGGGACCAGTAGATAGCATAATAATTATATCACTGGATTCACATGTGTTTGAGTCCTGGACCCAGTGCCTTAAAACTCATGCCAGGGGACCAGCAGTTGATGTAATGGCTATGTCGCTGGACTTCCATGTAGTCGACCATGGTTTGAGTCCTAGACCCGGGGACTTAAACTCACACCGGGTACATGTACGTGCATGCCCAAGATCCCAAGAGGAGAATGGAGGAGAAGGGATTGCAGTGTGGCTATCACCCCTGGGGGGTGATTTCTCACTTTCTGTCTCTCTGGCAAGCACACGTACCCTATAGCAAAAAAATCTCAAAAACAAGACAAAATAAAACAAAACTCATGCCAGGCACGTTTGTGTGGCATGCCCAAAATCCCAAGAGGAGAGTGGAGAAGAAGGGATTGCAGCATGGCCATCCCCCAGGAGGTGATTTCTCACTTTCTTTCTCTCTATCTCTCTGGCAAGCGCACTTGTCCTATAGCAAAAATCTCTCAAATAAGAAAAAGACCCTACTAAAGGAGATGCTATCTCCCCCCTCTATCTCTTTGTCTCTCTCACTAATGGAAGAAATAAATTAATAAGTCTTTTTAATAGAAAGCTTTATGGAAAAATGGGATTCAAGAAAAATTTATTTTGGTGCAAAAAAATTGAAATCCATGCATTTTTTCCCTTAATATGCATTTTCTATGAACTTTTTGAAGGCTCTCTGCTCATATTAATGAATTTTTCTTTACTAGAAGTAAAAGAATATTTCAGCTGATTTTGAAAAAAGAAAATTCACTCCTTACCCTGGCAAGCTTTAAACTTAGCCAGACTCACTGATTCACTTTGTGAGAATTGTACGTTCCTTATTACTAATGACAGTCCTTTTTTCATTGTATTTCTTCCTAGAGGTAAGTTAGTAAGGTATGAGGGAAAGATGGCTGAGGCCACCCCTTCTCTAGCATGGAACATAGAACTGATTCCTTTAGTCGTGGAGAAGAAGGGATTGCAGCATGGCCATCCCCCAGGAGGTGATTTCTCACTTTCTTTCTCTCTATCTCTCTGGCAAGCGCACTTGTCCTATAGCAAAAATCTCTCAAATAAGAAAAAGACCCTATTAAAGGAGATGCTATCTCCCCCCTCTATCTCTTTGTCTCTCTCACTAATGGAAGAAATAAATTAATAAGTCTTTTTAATAGAAAGCTTTATGGAAAAATGGGATTCAAGAAAAATTTATTTTGGTGCAAAAAAATTGAAATCCATGCATTTTTTCCCTTAATATGCATTTTCTATGAACTTTTTGAAGGCTCTCTGCTCATATTAATGAATTTTTCTTTACTAGAAGTAAAAGAATATTTCAGCTGATTTTGAAAAAAGAAAATTCACTCCTTACCCTGGCAAGCTTTAAACTTAGCCAGACTCACTGATTCACTTTGTGAGAATTGTACGTTCCTTATTACTAATGACAGTCCTTTTTTCATTGTATTTCTTCCTAGAGGTAAGTTAGTAAGGTATGAGGGAAAGATGGCTGAGGCCACCCCTTCTCTAGCATGGAACATAGAACTGATTCCTTTAGTCTGCAAAGAACCACCCTGTCTGTTGCATGGAGCAGCTGTGAGACTAGAGAAAATGCTTTAATCTATTTACCTCGTCCTACAACTCAACTTAGCAAAGTTGGTAGAAGCGAGGATCTTTTCCTAGGATGTTGTAAACATTTGGCTTCAGGAAATGAACAAAAACCATCCAGTAATTCATAAAGAAATAAAATCATTTCATCTTTTGCTCCTTATCTGTGAAATTGGCTGAATATCAACTTTATAACTGGAATGCCCCTCCTATTTGAGTCATTCATTGGGTGCCACTCTGTTTAACCTCTTCAGTCATGGGAGTAGTTATCAGTTTAATCACACTGAATCAGAGAGGTGGGCCCGTCGTAATTGGGTCTAAAGAGAAATAATGGCTAAGAATGAATCACTATATTCTAGTGCATTCAATATGAATTCTCTTATTATTAAATGTCTTAAAAGTCAGAAACTGGTATCACAAAAAGCAAATACTGAAAACAAACGAAATGCCAAGACTCTATAGAAATGCAAGCCCTATCACACATTATAGGTGACACAAGCCCCATGAGATGGAATTGGCTCTTGTCTACTTCCTCTACTGAATAAATAAAAGAAAGTGACCTTTCTTAGATTACATGAAAACTTAATTCCTTCCTCCCTCTCTAAATATTTGTATGTGACACTAAACAATAGACTTTTCAGCTTGAAAACAAACAGGCACCAACCTACACACATTGAACTTTGAACGAGGTTCCTTGTGAGCGTTTAATCAGTGACCTAGATATACCCAGAGGTGCTTACTCGCTGTAATGTAAAAACTGCAAAGTGTTTGCACATGAAAGCAACTGTTTCTAACTTGATGTTTTTGCTAGAGAATATGTGCACTCGCAGGAGAGAGAGAGAAAGAAGGAAAAAGAATGCACCCCCCCATTGGGTGTGGTCGTGTTGCAACCCCTTCCCCTTCATTTCTCCCTCCTTTTGGGATTTTGGGCACACACACATATATACACATGCCTGGTGTATTTCTCAAGCCACCAGGTCCAGCATTTGTACTGTAGTTAGTCGTGTGGGATCCAGATGTCTTAACTACATACCGCTGGCTGGCCTGGTCAATATTTTTAATCTCTTTTTTCATTTTTGTGAAAAATGGAAAGCGTAAGTGTATAACATAAACAAGTGAATAGGAAACGATCACCCTAGTCACCACCAAATTCAAGAAACAGAACTTTGCCAGGCACCCCAGAAGCTCTGGTATGTGCCTCGTTCAACTCAACCCTTCAACTCCTTCCCCAAAGTAACCACTGAAAATGCAACTAATATCACTAAGGAGCTAAGTTTTTCATTTTATGTTATTTCACTTCATTTAGATGTAAGCAGCTACATGTGGTGAGTGGCTACCATATTGAGCAGTGCAAGTACGGAGTATCAGCACCACCTATGAAATGCTCACTGTTGAAATGTTATCTGTTTTTCTTTAGGAGGACATTACTGATATCCCTAAACTTGCAGATAATCTCAAATTATTTAGGTAAGTAGCCTTTATGGAGAAAAGGAATTACTCATAACACAGCTTTGCAAGTAGAATCCAGGAGTTTAAATTACACATCAATTAGACAAGGTCTCGGTCCAAAGGTAATACCAGTTGGACAAAGAGTTGAATCTTAGATCTACCACATGCACTAGCTGGGTGACATTGGGCAATACCCTTACATCTCAAAGCCTCAGTTTCCTGATCTATAAACTAGGGATTTACTTCCTCTTGGGTTTGTTGGAAGGATTAGATAAAAGAATGCACTCAGAGGATCATAGTACATGGTCGTTAATGGTGGTGTAGCATGGCTGATGTCAGCAGTAAGGAGCACAGATGCTAGACTGCAGTTTCTGTTAGAGTTCACCTGGGAGGCTCAGGACTCTGGCCCCTTTGAAGATCTTCTTCAAAGCTATTTTTTTTTTTGAGAGAGAGGTTTTCTCTATAGGGAGCATGCACTCTCCAGACAGAGAGAGACAGAGAGACAGAAAGCGAGAAATCACCTCCCAGGTGGGGATGGCTACAACGCAATCCCTTCTCCTCCATTCTCCTCTTGGGATCTTGGGCACGCACACACACGCGCCCGGCGTGAGTTTAAGCCACCAGGTCTGGGACGCAAACTGTGGTCAACTACATGGGAGTCCAGCGACATAGCCATTATGCTAACTGCTGGTCCCCTTCAAAGCTATTTTTGAAAACAGGCACCAACCTACACACATTGAACTTTGAACCAGGTTCCTTATGAGAGTTTAATCAGTGACCTAGATATACCTAGAGTTACTTACTTGCTCTAATGTAAAAATTGCAAAATATTTTATTTGAATGTAAAATAGTTGTTTCTAATTTGATTTTTTTTTTAACTCAAATCATACTTACAGGGAGGGTTTGGTTGATTTATTTGATTTTTTTTCTTTACCAAACACTATCTGTCTATAGAACTTTGATCCTGGGCTGATGAAGAGTAGTCACCTTAGTTTATCTAAAAAGGGGGGTCTTTAAAAAGCTCATGGAAAATTATAAAAAAATCTGTACATGAATTTCAAAAATTTTCTGCATCAAAATAAACTTATACTTTAATTCTTCTTTTCCTGAAAGTTTTTGAAGTCCTCTCATACTCTGACTGGTTTAAGTGTTTCTGATAAATTCCCCAGTCTACTCAGGTTGATCTGAAACTATTAAAAAGGGTGTACGAGGGTTTTTATTCATGGAAAGAAAGGACTTCCACAGTTGTGATGGTGCCAACATGTATTAAGATGAAAGAAACGAGGCCCTTTGAAGTTCTATCACTTACTTAATGTCATTTTATGGTTTGTTGACTTTTCTTAACAAACCAACACTTCACTGGGGCAGCTGGCTTTAAAAGAAATCCAAGTTGCTGTTGATAACATATAATGCAAAGAAAGACTTAGAAAAAATGAACAATGAACCAGGTATAAATGAGAAACAAGTGTCCAAAGATAACAGTATTTGTCACTGGATTTCTACAGGTTTTTTTGTTTTGTTTTGTTCTCTTAATGTGAATATAGGATGTGGTCTCAAATAATAGGGTCATTAATTTAACTTCTGTGGTATAAATAGTTGTAACCACAGTTGACTCATATTCTTATAGTCAGGACTATAGGAAAAAATGAACAGTTTGAATATACTAATATATCTCTATAGAGTATTCATAATTGTTCTACAGAGAAATTGGATTGTCTGTTCTCTGTATAGAATAAATTCAACCCTTTACAAACCAAATGATGACACTACTCCCAGTAGATGTTTTCAGTGGAGGAGATGGTAATCTGGACTTACCATGCCACATCCTGAGCTACTACCACTACTACTACCCTGAGCTAATGATACTGTAGGCCTTTAGTGTGACTGTAATACTCAGACTCACAAAACTGTCCCTATAGTTGGCCAATGGACACTTTATCTACCAAGGTTCTCAAGATCTTTTAGGTTGTCGGGCAAGTCATGCCATCTTTTTCTGGTTTTCCATGCAGAAATGCATTATGACTTTCCCAGCAACCCAGTATATTGAATTTAATAGATAACGTAGTTCATGGAAGAAAGAAAGGAGAGAGAAACATGAGGAAGGAAGAGGAGAAGGAAGGAGGAAAAGTGGTGGGCGGAGCTCAATTCCTAGTACGAGTCTGCCCTCTGCCAGGCCCTTTATCCCTGGGCCTCATTCCTCTTGGGTATAAGAGAACTAGGCCTTGGATTTTGTTTTTCTTTTACAGTGAAGATCTTTTATTTTCACACTCTCTTTCTCTCCCTCATCTCTCTCTCTCTCTCTCTGGTAAGAGCATGCACCCTCTGGCAAATTTAAATAAATGAATAGGTTGTTCTTTGGCAGGGCCTCTAGGGTATCTTGAACTGCATGAAATTTGCTGTATGTTGGGGCCAGCAGATGATGTGGTGGTTAAGAGCAATGGACTCCCACATGGCTACCATTCAAGTCCCAGGCCTGGTGGCTTGCTTTCTCACTTTCTCTCTCTCACTCTCGCTCTTGCTCTATCCCTCCCTGGCCAAAATATTCTTGCTATGTCCCTCCCTGGTCAAAATAAATAAATAAAGTTTAAAAAAAAAATCTCTTTTCAAAAAAAAAAAATTGCAATGTGTTCTACATTTCTACATATAGCAATTTACACATACACTGTACTTTAATTTGCAGGCCCAAGAAGTTACTATTAAAAGCTTTCAAGCAATATTGGTTTGTCTTTAAAGACACGTCTATAGCCTACTTTAAAAATCAAGAACTTGAACAAGGAGAGCCGGTAGAGAGACTAAATCTTAGAGGTAAGAGCACCCCAGATCTTGCTGTGGCTCACCATGACTCAGCGAGCAAAGACAAGATTCCGACACAAGAGGCAAAGCTGACTTCTAGAGGAGCCTCTGTAGGTCTCAGTGGCCCTTCCTGCAGTTCTTCCTCTGGGTGCAGGGACCTTAAATGCACGCTAGTAAACATGGCTGTTTGCTTTCTTCTGGTCTGTCTTTGCCTCTGTGGCCAGCGTCTATAAAGTGATAGTAATTGGTGTCCCTTGCAAAAGGGGGATCATGAGGCACTCCTGGATCCTGAAAAGTTTTGTGTTCAGCAACAATTGTGTTTAATTCAGTGTCACTTTAGTGCCTTTACTAGTTTCCAAAAGTGATCATGAGTATACTGGGAACTCTATTATGTTTCAATAATATTACTGAAATATTTAATTAATAATTGCACTCAACTCTTTCATTGTTGTCAAATCAGAAAATTCCTTCTGTTTCCGTTTGTTTTTTTTTTTTTTGAGATGTTGTTGCTATAGGTCCATGCACTCACCAGACAGACAGAGAGAGACAGAGATACAGAAAGCAAGAAATCACCCCCCGGGGGGATGGCCACGCTGCAATCCCTTCTCCTCCATTCTCCTCTCGGGATCTTGGGCACGCACGCACACGTGCCCGGCGTGAGTTTCAAGCCACCAGGTCTGGGACACGAACCACAGTCAACTACATGGGAGTCCAGTGACATAGCCATTACGCTAACTGCTGGTCCCTGCTTCCATTTGTTTTTAAATTCCCATTTATAACTGTTTCTGTAAGTTAGGATTGCTAGTATCAACTTAAAAAAATGAATTCGGTTGATTTTTATGATTTCAGGAAATCATAGAAGAAAATTATTTTTCTTTCTGCCATGTTAATTGTTCATAAGTCTTAGTTAGCTATCCTTTTATTAATGTTATCAGCCTGATGCACCACTTTTCAGGATAGAATCAGATCTGAAGGGCTTGTATTCAAAGTCTTTATTTTAGGTAGTGACTGATACTTATAAGGTACTTATAAGATTCCTTATAAGATTCCTTATAACTCAGTTTTCCCCTTGTCTGTGGTCATTCAGGTTGCGAAGTTGTCCCGGATGTAAATGTAGCAGGGAGAAAATTTGGAATCAAGTTACTAATCCCTGTTGCTGATGGTATGAATGAGGTGTATTTGAGATGTGACCATGTAAGTAAAACCACAAAAATGTTAAGTCACTTTGTTTTTATTAAGTCTAAGAGCAAAGCACATAAGCTGTTTTCTCAAACTGGAGCACTGTTGTATTAGTCAGCTATTGCTTTGTAACAAACAATCATAGAGTAACAAATAATCATAGCATAACAAAATCACAATGACATTCAACAATAAACATTTGTTTTGAAATATTTGCAGTTAGGGTAGGGGTTGAATGATCTAGGCTATATCAGCTGTTCAGGTCTACTTTGAGATATAGATTTAGCTAAGCTGTCTCCTTGCTGCAAGTTGAGCTGATTTTATTCATTGAGTCCCAGACTGCCTGGGGGGGTAACACTTCTCCTAATGATGGCAAAAGTGCAAGATGACAATAAGCTATTTATAAGGTCTCCTAAAGTTTAGACTTAGCATTGGCACACTGTCTTTTCTACTCATATTCCATTGGTCAAAGCACATCATATGACTGAGCTCAAAGTCAAGGGATGGGAATTGCACTCTTTCTCTGTAAAATTACGTAGCAACAGATCTAAATACCAGGACAGTGAAATCACAGTGTGAAGACCCTATTGGTGGTGCTTGCCTCTCTCTCTCTCTCTCTCTCTCTCTCTCTGTCTCTGTCTCTCTGAAAAAATAAATAAATAAATGTGTTAAAGAATCTCCCTCTTTGGCTGCATCCTCAGCTCCTGGGACCACTCCTGTTCACTCTCTTTAGTTCCAAAATAAGCACAACAAAGGACCAGCAGATGACATAATGGTTACTCTCTCTCTCTCTCTCTCTCTCTGTCTCTGAAAAAATAAATAAATAAACGTGTTAAAGAATCTCCCTCTTCAGCTGCATCCTCAGCTCCTGGGACCACTCCTATTCACTCTCTTTAGTTCCAAAATAAGCACAACAAAGGACCAGCAGATGACATAATGGTTACATCACTGGACTCCCATGTAGTTGACTGTGGTTCAAGTCCCAGACTTGGCAGCTAAATATTCACACTAGGCACATATGCCTACATGCCCAAAATCCTGAGAGCAGACTGAAGAAGAAGGGATTGCAGTACAGCCATTCCCCTTGGGGGGTGATTTTTCATTTTTTATCTCTCTATTTCTCTCTTTCCTGCAAGCGCATAGACCCTATAGCAAAAACCTCTCTAAAAAATTTTAAAATAAATAAATAAACACAACAATTAAAGAACAATAGAATTCACCACTAACTAATTCAGATCATATCAATGGTCCTGATTGTACCTTAGGGTTAGAATCTTTACTAAGGACAGACCAGAGTACAGATAATATAGGAAATTGATTAATGAAATTTGCATCTTTTTTTCTTTTGTCAAAAAGATCAGACATGAAATGAAAACAGAAATATGTTTTAAGGAAGGGTCTCTGGTAGTTTGGGGTTTTACTGTCTGTGCTCCATGGCATGTCTGTGTGTTTGGATCATCTCTAAATGCAACTGCCCTGCATGAAATTTACCAATGCCTTCATTCCTTGCCTGCAGCCCTTTAGCATTTAAAGACTCCATCCTCACTCAGAAGCTATCATTGGTGTTAAATTACATAGTAAAGAGCCACTTGGGGGACCAACAGGTGGCATGGTGGTTAAGGTGCTGGATTCCCACATGGCAGACTGCAGTTTCAAGACCTGGATCAGATGACTTGAAAAATGACAATAAATAAATAAATGTGGGGTTTCTTATTATTATTTTTGCTTTTTGGTTTTTTTTTCAGAGAGATTTTTGTTATAGGATGTGCATGCTTGCCAGAGAAACAGAGAGACAGCGAGACAGAAAACGAAAGATCATCCTTCTTGGGGGATGATCACGCTGCAATTCCTTCTCCTCCATTCTCCTCTTGGGATATCAGGCATGCACACTCATGCACTGTCATGAGTTTTAAGCCGCTGAGTCCAGGACTCAAACCACAGTCGACTATGTGGGAGTCCAGCGATGTAACCACTATGTCATCTGCCTATACTATAAACTACTGTTTAAAAAAAAAAAAGAGTCACTGGAACAAATGTCACTTCACATCCTTCCTTGTTTGGAAGGTGATGGTTTTGTATTGTAATAAAGAGGAAAGCCCAGGTCCCACTGTGTCCCCAGTAGGGCGTCTTTGCATGTGAACTTGCTTCTCAGCCCTCTGGTGTTTGTTGCAGGAGAATCAATATGCCCGATGGATGGCTGCCTGCATTTTGGCATCAAAGGGGAAAACGATGGCAGACAGCTCCTACCAGCCAGAAGTCCTCAACATCCTTTCATTTCTGAGGATGAAAAACCGGAACTCCACTTCTCCGGTGACGTCCAGTCCCGAAAGCATGGACATGAACCCGGAATGTTTTGTGTCACCTCGGTGTGCAAAAAAGCACAAATCTAAGCAGGTACTGCTGATCTTGTTTGGGGGGTGGTTTGTAGCAAATTCTTTTTGTTTTGAAATAAAAGAGCAACTCATCACATTAAGGCTATGACCATGAAAAATTGGCTGATGGGGCTCTTTTGTGTATTGGCTATTAGATGCTGTTATGAGATTGTTTTGATTTTGTTAGAAGTGACTGTACTGCTGACTGAACATGCCAATATTCTCAGATTGAGCTTCATTAAGGATAAAATTATGTAGCTACCAAAAATTAAAGTTATACTTCTATAAGATGGGTTAAAATTTGCACAGATGGGCCCAGCAGGTGGCATGGAGATTAAGACATTGGATCCCACATGGCTGACTGCATGGTTCAAATCCTGGACCCAGAGACTTGAAAATCATGCCAGTCACATGTGTGTGCATGCCCAAAATCCCGAAAGGAGACTGGAGAAGAAGGGATTATGAGTTCTCACTTTCCCTCTCTGTCTCTCTCTGGCAAGCACCCATGCCTTATAACAAAAAGTAAAAAAAAAAAAAAGGATGAAAAGGACAAATGAATTGTTTCAAATAGAATTATTGTCTGGGGAACTCATTCTATAGACCCCAGAAAGAGAGACCCCAGAACTCTCCATCTGCATGAACCTTAGAAGCTGATATGTTGACTAATCTTGTTTCTGCTTCTCCCAATGATTCTCATTCCTTTTAGAAAAAAAAAAGAGAAAATGGAGAAATGAATGAATGAGAATGAATAGTTTTTTAATTTAATTTAAGAATTATTTAATCTTATTTTTTTAATTTTGTTATAGGGCATGTGTGCTCACCAGAGAGAGAAAGAAGAGAGAGAGAGAGAAAGTGAGAAAGCAAGCTGTCAGGTCTAGGACTTGAACTGTGGTCAGCCATGTGGAAGTCCAGCACCTTAACCACCATGCCACTTGTTGGCCCAAGAATAAAGAGTTTTGTAGAGTGGCAACTTGGCCTTGTATTCGTTGTTCTCTTTGGGGTTCTGGGGCTAATGTGGTGATACGGAGCACTTGGTGCACGGAGCAAAGTGTGATGCCTCCTGTTTCTGCTTAGCTGGCAGCCCGGATCCTGGAAGCCCATCAGAATGTGGCACAGATGCCACTGGTGGAAGCCAAGCTGCGGTTCATCCAGGCGTGGCAGTCCCTACCTGAATTTGGCCTCACCTACTACCTTGTCAGGTAATTACAATGTTCACTTGCCTTTCTCTTTCCACTACGTGTTTTGTTTTTTTGTTTGTTTGTTTGTTTTTGTTTTTGTGGAGGGAGACTAGGGTTTTTTTAAATGAGTTCTTTTTTTAAAAAATGTCTATTTATTATTATTATTTCAATTTCTTTTATACATTCGATCGTTACTTAGCTTGCAAAGTGAAAATTCCAACATGTGTACATTGTGCACGGGTCCAATTGACAATACTATAAGGGTATCCCTCAACAGATAATAACCCATTTCTTTGTCCCATAAATGCCTTGCCTCTCTATTTTTCTCTTTAATGTCCTTCCTCAGACTCTACTCCTCCACCCTCCCTCTTCCCACGCTGTATGTGATATTCACAACCATTTACCATATGTGTTTCTATATTCTTTTCTTTTTTGGAGAGGTTTGGTTTTTTTTTTTTTGCTGTAGGGCGCGTGCGCGCGCCAGACAGAGAGAGACAGAGAGATAGAAAGCAAGAAATCACCCCCCAGGGGGCATGGTCACGCTGCAATCCCTTCTCCTCCATTCTCCTCTCGGGATCTTGGGCATGCACACACATGCGCCCGGCGTGAGTTTTAAGCCACTGGGTCCGGGACACGAACCGCAGTCAACTACGTGGGAGTCCAGCGACATAGCCATTACGCTAACTGCTGGTTCCCATGTTTCTATATTCTTCAGCCATTCAGTTTGGGCCATAAAGTGCGGACAATCGGTATATATTAAGTGGAGACATACAATGTCTCTCTAGTCTGGCTTCCTTCACTCAGCAGTAAATCTTCTGTATTCCTCCACTTCCTGTCAAAGGCCAGGGTCCTGTATTTTATGGCTGAGTAGTATTCCATAGAGTGTATGTGCCACACTTTTTCAAGCCATTTGGGTTGGTTCCATGTCTTAGCAATTGTGAATAGTGCCACAATAAATATCGATGTGCAAGTACTTTCCCAATTAAGAATTCTTCTGTCCTTTGGGTAAATACCAAGGTGTAGTATTGCTGGATCATATGGTAGTTCTATTTGTAGATTTTATTTTTTTAAAGACTTATTTATTTATTCATTCATTCATTCATTCCTTCATTTTAATTTGACCAGACAGAGACACAGAGAAAGAGAGAGGAAAGTGAGAAAGCAAGCCAGCAGGTCCAGGACTCAAACCGTGGTCGGCCATGTGGGAGTGTCCAGAGCCTTAACCACCACGCCACCTGCTGGTCCCCCTATTTGTAGATCTTTGAGGAATCTCCAAATTGTTCTCCACAGGGGCTGGACTGATTTACATTCCCACCAGCAGTGTAAGAGAGCTCCCCTTTCACCACACGCCCGCCAGCACTTATCTTTTTTTTTTTAGTATTAGTCATTCTAATTGGGGTTAGGTGGTATCTCATTGTGGTTTTGATCTGCATCTCCCTTACCATGAGGGATGTGGAGCATTTTTTCATATGTCTTTTTGCTATTCGTATGTCATCCTTAGAGAATGGTTTTTTCAACTCGTTCTCCCATCTTTTAATAGGGTTGATCATCTTTTTTCAGGACAGCTGCTTGAGTTCCTTGTGTATTCTGGTTATCAGTCCCTTGTCTGACATATAGTTTATGAAAATCTTTTCCCATTTTGAGGGTTATTGATTCACATTAATTACTGAGTCTTTTGCCATGCAGAAACTTCTTAATCTGATGTAATCCCATTTGTCTATTTTTGGGATTATTGACTGTGCTCTAGGGTACTTCCTTAAGAAGGCTTTGCCTACCCCAATATGTCCCAGAGTTTCCCCAGTGTTTTCCAGAAGCAGTTTTATAGTTTGAGGTCTTATGTTTAGATATTTGATCCACTTTGAGTTGATTTTTGTCAATGGTGAGAGGTAGGGTTTCAGATTCATCTTTCTACAGCTGGATATCCAGTTTTTCCAGCACCATTTGCTAAAGAGGTTTTCCTTTTCCCAATGAAGTGACTGGTTCCCTTTGTCAAAAACCAGCTGGCTGTATGTTTGGGAGTTTATTTCTGGGGACTCTATTTTGTTCCATTGGTTCACCTGTCTGTTTCTGTGCCAATTCCATACTGTCTAGATTACCATGGCTTTGTAGTGTATTTTTGGGTTAGGGCGTGAGATGCCGCCCACTCCACTCTTCTTGTGCAGGATTGCTTTGCAATACGAGGTCTTTTGTGATTCCAGAGAAATTATATGGCTGCTTCTTCTAGATCTATGAAGAATGTCTCTGGTACTTTGATTGGGATTGCATTAAATATGTAAATTAATTTGGGTAGGATTGCCATTTTGATTATATTCATTCTTCCAATCCAGGAACATGGGATGTCTTTTCACTGTCCAGCCACTTTCTATTCAATTTCTAAGTGGCTTCGCGGGGCTCAGTTTCTTCTCATTTAATCTAGAAGGTAGAACTGTCTTGATTTTAGAATTTTGCCTTTTCACAAATGACCCAACCACAGTTGGATGTTCATGAAAACCTCCCATCCCCTGTCTTCAAAGTGCCCACACCCACACTCAGCTAAATGTGGGAAAGGACATTTTAAAGAGAGTTTTTATTCTTTTACAACTACATTTGCAAAATCATAGAGTAATTTTTATGAAATCTGTGACTTCCTTCAATGTCAGGTTCTTCTTCACTGTTGCCTGTTGGATATCTCATGCCACATCTCCTAGTGTGGCTTTGTCAGGTTTCTCAACAGAGAGGTTGTGACAAAGCCTGTAATTTATCTTCACCCAGCTCATTAAGGAGCCGCCATGTTCCTGTTTGTCTCTGAAGATTTCTGGGTCCAAAGGACCTATACGTGGCCCATCTAGTACCCTCTTTGTTTCACAGATAGGAGCACTGAGACTTATCCAAGTTCACTCCTAGTCAGGGGCACACCTCAGCATAGAACCCAGTGTCCTTACTCATGATCCCTGCCAAGCATGGTGGCTCTGCCCCATGGTATAAAATTCAGGATTCCCCAAATAGGTCCACAAGCATGCTTGCGAGTTGTACATTTAGTTCAATAAGGAAGATTGATGTGGAAGCAAAATCCACACTTCCTCATTTTATAATGTCAGGGTTGGATGACTGGTGTATATTTTCAGGAGCTGACTCGTGGGAAAGTATAGCTTTCATCTGCTTTCTTGGCTCTTTTCAAAGACTCAGTTTCTGTGCCCCTTCTAGCAGGTATGTCTCAATGAGACTTTTCTCATCACTGAAATATTTCATATAACATCTATCCCCAGTGTCTGTCCTGAGCAAGCAGCTCCTTCTGTTTCATTCATTCTAACAAAACAGTAAGGGAGGGCAGGGCTGTGCCAGATACCTACTTAACGTGCACACGCACACATGTTCATGTGTGTACTCACACACACTCACCTATAACCCTGAAATCAGCCCTGCAGAGTGGAAAGAACTTGTATACATGCTCAGCTTGTTTTTCAAGCTACGTGGGCCAGGACCCAAACTGCCATTGACCATGAGAAATTTGACTCCCTGAACCAGTAGGCCATGGGGTCAGCCTTCTAAGCAGTGTTTGATACAGTGACTGACACACTGGCTTCTGTTGCCTCCCACACAGCTGACTTCCCTCATTTTCTTTCTCCCTCACTAGCCTCTTTGTAGTCGCTTTTGCTAGTTCTTTCTCTTCTTTCCAACCTGTGCTAATACTGGAGTGTGCAGGCCTTAGTTCCTAAAATTCCTTTGCCCAATCTGTGTTCAGCCTCTTGGGCTCACCATTCTTTTGGCCTTCAAATACACTCATTACTTCAAATATACTCATGTATATGTCTTTTTTTTTTTTGAGAGGATTTTGCTATAGGGCACGTGCGCTCACCAGACAGACAGAGAGAGACAGAGAGACAGAAAGCGAGAAATCACCCCCCAGGGGGGATGGTCACGCCACAACCCCTTCTCCTCCATTCTCCTCTCGGGATCTTGGGTACGCACGCACACGCACCCGGCGTGAGTTTTAAGCCACCGGGTCCAGGACGCGAACCACAGTTGACTACATAGGAGTCCAGCGACAGCCATTATGCTAACTGCTGGTCCCACATGTATATGTCTTGAACCCAGAAGTCTCTCTTAGTTGGAGATTCATAAATAACCTTGGGATGTCTGATAGTCATCTTATCTTAACATGTCCAAAATTCCTAATCTTCCCCCTACACCTACTCCTTCTGCCATCTCAGTAAATGGCACCACCTCCTTCCAGCTGCTCAGAACAAATCTCTTGCAGTTGGTTCTGATTTCACTCTTTCTTCCACATGACAGTCCTACTGACTCTGCCTTCAAAGTGTACACAGACTTAAACTTCTTCTAACTACATCCACCACCACCACTATGGCCTTGCCTCAGTTTTCAGCTTTGCAGCCAGAATGATCATTTTAAAATCTTACATCAGGGGCCAGCAGGTGGTATGGTGGTTAAAGCACTGGATTCCCACATGGCTGACTGCAGTTCAAGTTTTGGACACAGTGGCTTGAAAATCACACTGGGCATGTGTACATGTATGCCCAAAATTCTTAGAGGAGAATGGAGGAGAAGGAATTACGTTGTTGCCATTCCTCTGGTGGGGGTGATTTCTCACCCCACCCCTACCCCTCAGGTGAGTGCATGCAGCCTATAGCAAAAACCTAAAAAAAAAAAAAAAACAAACACAAAAACCAGACCCAATGTCAGGTTCTTCTTCACTGTTGCCTGTTGGATATCTCATGCCACATCTCCTAGTGTGGCTTTGTCAGGTTTCTCAACAGAGAGGTTGTGACAAAGCCTGTAATTTATCTTCACCCAGCTCATTAAGGAGCCGCCATGTTCCTGTTTGTCTCTGAAGATTTCTGGGTCCAAAGGACCTATACGTGGCCCATCTAGTACCCTCTTTGTTTCACAGATAGGAGCACTGAGACTTATCCAAGTTCACTCCTAGTCAGGGGCACACCTCAGCATAGAACCCAGTGTCCTTACTCATGATCCCTGCCAAGCATGGTGGCTCTGCCCCATGGTATAAAATTCAGGATTCCCCAAATAGGTCCACAAGCATGCTTGCGAGTTGTACATTTAGTTCAATAAGGAAGATTGATGTGGAAGCAAAATCCACACTTCCTCATTTTATAATGTCAGGGTTGGATGACTGGTGTATATTTTCAGGAGCTGACTCGTGGGAAAGTATAGCTTTCATCTGCTTTCTTGGCTCTTTTCAAAGACTCAGTTTCTGTGCCCCTTCTAGCAGGTATGTCTCAATGAGACTTTTCTCATCACTGAAATATTTCATATAACATCTATCCCCAGTGTCTGTCCTGAGCAAGCAGCTCCTTCTGTTTCATTCATTCTAACAAAACAGTAAGGGAGGGCAGGGCTGTGCCAGATACCTACTTAACGTGCACACGCACACATGTTCATGTGTGTACTCACACACACTCACCTATAACCCTGAAATCAGCCCTGCAGAGTGGAAAGAACTTGTATACATGCTCAGCTTGTTTTTCAAGCTACGTGGGCCAGGACCCAAACTGCCATTGACCATGAGAAATTTGACTCCCTGAACCAGTAGGCCATGGGGTCAGCCTTCTAAGCAGTGTTTGATACAGTGACTGACACACTGGCTTCTGTTGCCTCCCACACAGCTGACTTCCCTCATTTTCTTTCTCCCTCACTAGCCTCTTTGTAGTCGCTTTTGCTAGTTCTTTCTCTTCTTTCCAACCTGTGCTAATACTGGAGTGTGCAGGCCTTAGTTCCTAAAATTCCTTTGCCCAATCTGTGTTCAGCCTCTTGGGCTCACCATTCTTTTGGCCTTCAAATACACTCATTACTTCAAATATACTCATGTATATGTCTTTTTTTTTTTGAGAGGATTTTGCTATAGGGCACGTGCGCTCACCAGACAGACAGAGAGAGACAGAGAGACAGAAAGCGAGAAATCACCCCCCAGGGGGGATGGTCACGCCACAACCCCTTCTCCTCCATTCTCCTCTCGGGATCTTGGGTACGCACGCACACGCACCCGGCGTGAGTTTTAAGCCACCGGGTCCAGGACGCGAACCACAGTTGACTACATAGGAGTCCAGCGACAGCCATTATGCTAACTGCTGGTCCCACATGTATATGTCTTGAACCCAGAAGTCTCTCTTAGTTGGAGATTCATAAATAACCTTGGGATGTCTGATAGTCATCTTATCTTAACATGTCCAAAATTCCTAATCTTCCCCCTACACCTACTCCTTCTGCCATCTCAGTAAATGGCACCACCTCCTTCCAGCTGCTCAGAACAAATCTCTTGCAGTTGGTTCTGATTTCACTCTTTCTTCCACATGACAGTCCTACTGACTCTGCCTTCAAAGTGTACACAGACTTAAACTTCTTCTAACTACATCCACCACCACCACTATGGCCTTGCCTCAGTTTTCAGCTTTGCAGCCAGAATGATCATTTTAAAATCTTACATCAGGGGCCAGCAGGTGGTATGGTGGTTAAAGCACTGGATTCCCACATGGCTGACTGCAGTTCAAGTTTTGGACACAGTGGCTTGAAAATCACACTGGGCATGTGTACATGTATGCCCAAAATTCTTAGAGGAGAATGGAGGAGAAGGAATTACGTTGTTGCCATTCCTCTGGTGGGGGTGATTTCTCACCCCACCCCCACCCCTCAGGTGAGTGCATGCAGCCTATAGCAAAAACCTAAAAAAAAAAAAAAAAAACAAGCTCAAAAGCCAGGCCATGTCAAGCCTCTGCTCAAAACCATCTGAAGATCTTTCTGTCTCACTCAGTATAAAAGACAAATCCTTCCCTACAAGACCTCAGCTCTAACCTCATATTCCTTTTCTCTCCTTCACTCTCCCAGCACTAGTGGCCTCCTGGCTGGTCCCTGAGAATGCAAAAAAATTACTAAAAATAAAAATGTCTCTGTGCCCTCTGCTTAAAATACTCTTTC